TTTCTAATTCAGACGCCCTCCATTCTCAAATAATTGTCATTCTTTTACTTTAAACTTATCTCAAATTAATTATTTTTTTTATATTTTTTAAAATAGATAAATTTTTTTATTTTAATTTTATCATTACCTATTTATTTTGATTAATTATTTTATCATAAAAAATTTTATTTTATCTTTTAGCTTTTTCTCAAGGGTAATAATAAGAGGAAAAAATCTTTAATTTAGAGAAAAAATTAAAAAAAAAAGATAATTATTATGAAACAAATGAAATATCAAATTAGTCTAGTCCATTAATTGCCGTTAATTTTACAGTTAAAAAATTATTAACGAATCAATTATTTTACAGAAAAAACCACAAAGATGAAAAAAAAAAGTTAAAAAACTACTATCATAAATTTTAGATTCAGAATCAGTTTTTCATAAACAGCATAAGAGTGCATTAATCTTTTTGTAATTAATTTGTATTAAAAGTTAAAAATTTATAATTTTATGAATGTTAAAAAACTTAAAAATTTACTTTAATTTGATCAATTATATAATTAAATAAATTAAAAATATGATCAATTTTTGTAGTTTTCTTAGATATTAATTAACTACCAAACATATACTACATAAATCAACAAGTGATAAGTGAGAGGTTTTGATCCCATACAAGAGCGCGCTTTTTTTTTTAATAATTTTGATCGAATACAATTAAGAGGGTTGAGAATAAAATTGTTATGATTTGAATCTTGAATTTTTAAATACCATTACGCTTCTCAAGATATGGCCATTAAACCACAATGGTAGTTGGTTAGAAGAGTGAACTAAATGATGTAAGGGATATCTGAAAAGAAATAGTACCATATGACAAATAGCGATAAGGGTTGGCGGAAATTTTGCAAACCCGACAAAAAAATATATGAAACCGATCAAAATTATACAGTAATCAATGGATAAGATTTGACCGAATTTTAAGTCTTTTTTGGACTGAATTTTGGTTATAGCTTAAGGGGGTGTTTGGGATTGTAATTGAAAATTTTTTCGTGTAGGTATATAGTATTTTTAAATATATGTATTTGATAATTTTTTTAAAATTATTTTTTTTTAATTATAAAAAATCATAATAAATTTACAATAATTTTATATATAAAGTTACAAGCATCGTTATAAGGCTTTCTGATTGTAACTTTTATAAAAAAA